AACTGTAAGAGATAAAAATTGTATATTTTCTCCTCATAGAACTCCACAAATTTTTTCAGAATTTTTTATCAACTTTTTAGTACTGCATTTTCTCATTTTTACCAACATGAGAAAATACGGTATTAAAAAATTCTAAAAAAATTCTAAAAAAATTCTTAGAGCTTTATAAGAAGAAAATAAATAATTTTTGTCTTTTGTAGTTTTTCTATAAAGTTGATAGTATTTGAATAAAAAATTATTGAAGATCAATTTTCGGTAATTTTTAGCAATTAATATCTTGTTAACTATTACGAAAATTGTAAAATGGTACAGGACTTTTCTTCTCAGTTTAGTCCATTCTGCCCCTATGCGAAAGATTTATCATTATTTTCCAAACACCCTGTATAGAATCCGATGAACACAAGATAGATCTTCTTATTTCTCGAATTAGATCGAAGGAAAATTGAAATTTATCATACGGATTGTTAAAAACGAGAATTGTTTGATAGCATTTCCCACCATAATTTTTATCGTTCCTATCTCAATGTCATTAAATTCCAATTTATTTCAACAAAAGGCTCACCGCCATTCTTACCAAAAAGAGAAAAGGAAACAAAATATTACGAATGTACATATAATCATGAAACGTGCAATTATAAAATGAAATAAAGAATGACTGGCTCTTAAAAAGAGATCTAAGCAAAGATATATACAATTATGATATAGATTTTACATCCATTATCAACTCGTATTGGTCGTATATTTTCGATTTGTCTAGATTTCTGGATTTATGCGATTATTTTCTCTTTAATCTAATCTATTTTTATAATGTTTTATATACTTAAGATATAAATATTACTATATTAAAATAGGTTATCTATATATTGCTAATTCAAGTAATTGTTTTAAAAGAAGAGATTGTTTAGAATATCTAATAGTATCTTCATCTTGCATGTATAAAGTAATAAGTTCGAATAATAAGAAGAGCTCACTTATCATCATCGGATTCAGATGCAGCCTGTTTCGCGATTAGAAAAATATAATGAAGTTTAATAAAAGAAATGAATATATAGTAGGGAGGACAAACACATATATACTGTAGAATATTAATTCAAAAAGATCTTAACACAGTGCGATTTCGTGCCAGTTGTGTTTGTAGAGACGCGACAACATCCGTCAGCATCACCCTACTCTCTATCAGTACGTCAGAAGATATTCTGAATATACGAGACCCAAGCAATAAATCAATATATATATCCCAAATATATATTTTGTTAAGTCGCTTTCGTACAAGAAATACATTTGTGAGTATAAGAAAGAAGAAAAAAAGGAAATTGCGACGCGAAAAATACAAGTGGCACAAAATTGTACGAAGCCTGTTGCAGACTCAGGAACAAAATAAGAGGAATATTATATTTCCTGATACTACATCGAGCCTGTAACAATGGGGCCATATTTTCACAAAGAACGAAAATGCGTGTTCTCTCATATTTAATGAAAATAAAAGTAAATAAAAAATGAAATTCTAAATATCTGCATCGATTATACGATACAGAGTACGGGTTGGGCCTAAAAGATAAACAAAGAGGAAGTTTAGAGGACTCAAACTTTTATTGCTCATAATATATATATGTTTGTAATAAGAGTAACTTTCGCAATTGCATTTGTTTCAGTACCATCCCGCACCGGCTGACATGGCGGGCATTTATTAAACGGATTTGATGGAATATACAGAGTGTCTCATAACTATCACATTTCCTCTTAAGAACGTATCCTTGAGATAATTTTGAGACAAAAAGTCTAATACATCCTCTCTTAAGGAGGAACACCAGGGTGACGGGTTCCAAAAATCGATTTTTTTTTTACATTTTTGTAATGTTTGGAGTCTTAAAAATATGTCCCTATAATATTATGTTGAAATTCCTAACTGAACAATAGTAAATATGTGATAGAGTAGAACGTGGTCAAATGTCGCGCGCTACCTGAAAACGTTCAGCAGTCCCCTTGATCTGCTTGTACATAGACAGTTTTACCGGTATTCTTTTGTTGCCCATGTGCTTGAGTCTTTGTTATATAGTGTAAATATTCTTGAGACGACCGTTAACGAACGACACGAAATTTTATCGTTTTATGTAAACTAATTGGTTGTAAAACTTTAAACACGTTTTTCTCGAAACCACGTTTTCGTAACTGGGCGAGATACTCACATATCTCGGCCAATTTTTATCCGAATGACTTGAATTTTGGACAAAATGTTTACAACGAAATTGTCTTCAGTTACGCGTACGAATTTTTCAATCGGATTATTAGTTTTTGAAAAACAATTAAAAAAGTAACGATTTTATATCGCAAAATTATGACCACTTTCTTTAAAACAGCGCCATTTTGTCTAAAATTATTTTATCAAAAAATCCGTCCGTGCAACTGAAACTACACTCATATACTTTAAAATAAAGAAAAAACAGTTTATTTCGGAGCTCCCGTTCAGACGCAGCACGAGCGCCCGTGGACCCATCTTTTTTCAGACGAGGTGCACATCAATGAGCACTGAGGCTATAAATATTAATATTATTCAATGAATTTTTTTAAAATAATTTCGTAAACGTATGTACTTCGAATATATAAAGACAATAATTCATATAAGCTATTAGTTTCCAAAAAAAATTCACGATAATAGCCTTTTTTTCGGCCGTCACCCTGGTGTTCCCCCTTAAGAGGAAATGCGGTAGTTATGAGACACCCTGTATAATATACGATAACGAGAATTGTTTGATAGTTTCCCACCATAATTTCTGTCGTCTTCCTACCCCAATATCCCAATTAAATTCCAATTCGTTTCGTTACACGGCAACTCGCTGCCATTCTTGCCAAAAAAAAGAAAAGGAAACAATAAATATTATGAACGCAATAATTTATTATTAGCGTGATACATGTAATCATGAATTATGAGGTAGTAAATCGCCATATTTGATACTTTGTACGTTTCGATATAATTTAGTACGAAAAAAGACTCTTTAGAGCGTACCAGCGCGCAATTATACGTACAAAGAGAAAATTTTAATTATAGATAGAACTGGTGGATGTGAATTGTAAGTTTTATTAATCCTACAATGTATCATTTTGGAATCGAAATATAATAATTTTGTCGATAAATAACATACACGTATAATTTAATTAACATTTCTAAATTAAATTAAATTAATCGAGTTAATAGTTTTAATTATATTTAGTTAGTGGCTCCAAAAATAAAAGTAAAATGTCCATATGATCCTCCGCGTTTGTTAATTCATATATTTATAAAGCAATAAGATAATTTGCAAACAATTGGAATGTGTGCAATTAACTTCGTTTAGTAAATACACGTTCCAATTGTTTGCGCATTATATCTTATCCCTTTATGACGTATAATTTACACACTACTTACTGCGAAGGTTCATATTAGATATTTAAATTACCCATCAGTTTCGAAGTATACGAAAAAGTTTCTGCGCTTTTCTTGTCTTTCAGAATAAAATTATAGATATACTGCGTAAAATTGTGTGATTTTATTCGGACAGATGAATATAATCAATAAGTATCATCACTTATTAATTTATTTTCGCGATCGTATGAAACTGATGCGAGACATTAAATACAACCGTTTTGTTATTATGACAATGAAATGAATTTCAAGTATTTTAGCCTGAATTTTTTCCTTTTTTTATTCAACACAGTGCTTGAGTCATGAGCATGCGTATAATAAGGATGACGATTACATTTTATTAAAATAAATGCAGTAACAGTCAAATGCAAATTACATCTCTCTCTGGTGGTATATATCCGTAAACATATGAATAATCCTTACACACACGATATAAAATAATATAACAAGATATTTTATAAGTGTGTCTATAGATTAAACTTATTTAATAAATTGTCGTTGTCTTCATTTACATAATACATTTTCATAATATTATCAACAATTTAAATACGACATGACAATATCTTTACATCATCCAGAACTGAAGCATACGAATTTATAAAATACAGTGTATATAATTTAAAAGATATTTAAGCTCCTTCCTAGGATACAAAAAAGTACTAAATAATGTTCCACTTAAATCTAAGTCTTGTCGATTTTAAGAGCGAGCTATACTAAATATGTCTCTAGCGTTATCCCTAAAATTACTGCGATAACAATTTCGTTGCTCAAAAATGTACAGTAACACAATAACACAATCTACTTGTATTATACATTACAAATTTACTGCCATAAGCAAGAATGGAACCCGTATCAAAGCCACTGTAATCGAATTATGTGACCCAAAATCAATTTGTTATTGTAAATTTCTTTTTTAGTGACGATTTCTGTGTCATCGATCGACGCAAATGCAAATTGCATGATAACGTAACTTTGTATTAATTTTATATATATATATAGCATCACATATCGTATATGTACAGCTTCGCAAACGCAAATTTATTATTTCAAGGATTTAAATGCAATTGTATCATATAAAGAAACGTATATTCAATTTGGATAAGAGTGCCATTCAACGAACCGATATCGTATTTTACATCTACAACATGACGATTAATGTAATCTTTATATGCTTTGAGTTGTATAAATGATTAACAGGGCGATTAACAATAATACTAAATGCCTGCCCCGAAAAAACGCCTCCGACTCGATTGTAATGTTACTGGACCATCCAGATAACCATCGAGACACATCCTACTAAATTATAAACGTGTAAACAATGAATTTTCTACGTAAGCGGATGTACATCTACGAAATTATGGAATAAACTTAATTTTTGTATAAAAATTACAGTACAATCAGTTTACATTCTTTTAATCTTTTTTTTATTGCCTCAGTACACACAGCGTATTTTAATTGTTTTATTTGTTCCACCACTAATTATGTACAAATATAGCTGAGTACTTGTTAAACATAATATATGCCACTAATATGATAAGTCAATCTTAAAAAAAATTCGCACGTATTCGATGTTTTGAACATCAGATAACAAAATCTTTTCTTTTCATTGTACAAATAAATTCATTTGAAAAAAGTTCGTATCTTCTGTCGTTGGTATAAATTCTGTAAAAAAAAGTGCTCCTTTCCAGAACTATTTTAATGTAACTTTACAAATTTTCTACTGACTCGTCATCTATTTGCGTTTCAAACGGTTCCATTTTCTTAGGATCCTTTATTGATATATCTGTGATGCTTTTAGCTTCACGAATCCTTCTAATTTTCTTTTTAATTGTCATTGCACCTGTTCATATAATAATACATTATCTAAGTTACAGTTTAATTTATACATGCAAACTTCAAACAAAAAGTAAGTATATAGAACTTACAAACTAATGTTTGCCACAATTCAACTTTCTTTGCTGTTTTGATATTACTTTTCCTCAAAGATTCTTTATGCCTTTTATGAATGCTAGCTAATTCAATGGCTTCCTGCGTCGGTGGTGGAAAGAGACAAATTTCGAGCCAATGTGTAGCTTTCGCATGTCCAATCAGTCTTATCCATACCTAATTGTAAATATATTTTCATTAACATATAACATTTATATATATGCATATACACGTATATAATGTAAAAAAATTAACATTGTTTGTAATATTTATTTAAATAACATATATACAGGACTACGAGCCAAGCAAGGTCTTCATGCTAAGTTATTGCAAAAACAAATAGTTTCCGTTAATAAATCAAACTAATCAAGACTCCTTACAAATCAAAGAATTGGAAAGAGTAAGGGCACTAGAAGTCGAGCACAGAAGACGTCGCGCAAATAATACACTTATAAAGAATGAAACTTCTTTATTCACTAAACGCACTTACATGTTTTGACTCATTTTTTCCTCAGAGCAAACACTAACATATATAAAGTAAAAGTTATCCTGTCATGGTGAGCTCCCCTACATCGAGAATTTCAATGCCAGAATTAAATAAAAAGAAAGAAAAGAAAATGAAAAAGAAGGGAAATATTAAAAATGTCAAATTAAAGAATATAGAAATTAATTTATCAAAAAGAGTAATAAGTCCTTCTGACAAGATTTTTTATCACTTTACAATTGTCATTAGTACTAACTAATAACTAAAAAAGTGACTCACTATGTCTGATATCGACTGGCCAACATATCAGGAACCGGTTCTTGAATTATTCATGATAATATTTGCGATACGGTAGTTTGTAATTGTGGTAAACGTCCCTATTTTCGGGATAATTAATTATATTATTAAAGCTTTTTGATAAATTAGTTTCTATATTCTTTAATTTGACATTTTTAATATTTCCCTTCTTTTTCATTTTCTTTTCTTTCTTTTTTTTAATTCTGGCATTGAAATTCTCGATGTAAGGGAGCTCACCATGACAGGATAACTTTTACTTTATATATGTTAGTGTGCGTTTGCTCTGAGGAAGGCTCAAAAATGAGTCGAAACATGTAAGCGCGTTTAGTGAATAAAGAAGTTTCACTCTTTATAAGTGTATTATTTACGCGACGTCTTCTGCGCCCGACTCCTAGTCCCCTTACTCTTTCCAATTCTTTAACAAATAGTTTATTGTAACAAATGTTTCGACCTCTATTGGGTCGTTATCAGTGTTAATCTTAATAACAATATATAAATCACATACACATTTGAAAAATAATCTTAAACAAGACAACTTAAAAAGTCAACACAATTTAAAAAGAATATAAAAGTTTCATCAATTGTGTAAGTATATCCCTACCGTTTTAGATAGTTGTGAGAATTACTCAATATCAAAACATGAAAACGCAGCAATAGCCTTACTCGGTGTATGAACATGACAATGTGGATGAATAACAAACGCTTGATGGTCGTTAACGGTTCTTGTAACATGACTCTTATAAAGCGCAGTCTCAAAAGCTTAGAATTACAATGATAAACCAATGCAATAAACCAGTGTTAGTCTAAAATCACAATTACGACCTTAAGAATAATAATTTAACAAACAAAAATAAATGTAAATATATCGTGAAATACAGAAATTTATAAAATTATAAAACACACATATATTCGAAATTATGAAGAACTAGTTATAGAAGTGACGTATAAAATTGTGAGTCTAATAATATAATGATTATAAGATTACAAATAAAAAAACCGGGTTCTCCTTCGGTTATTTCAGACCATCGCATGAAATTTAATCATAATTTTGATTGGAAGGAAGTTAAAATATTAGATACCGAACCATTTTACAATAAAAGGTTAATATCAGAAATGCATATAAAAAGACAAGCACAAGGTTTGAATAAGCAGACTGATACAGAATCCGAAACCTTATCCGACATGTATCTACCTATACTCCAGTCGCTTTCCCCTTTCTAATACCTCCTTAGATACCTCCTCCTTTCATTCTTTCCCCACAGTTCCACTCACTTGTCTTAACTATCATACAATATCAGATGAGTTATCTTTTAAAGAGATCTGAGTGCTGATTATCAGTACATCTTAATTTGCCATTTATCTAATGTTGCTCTCAAATAGATCACTACTAATTATCGGGTACTTTTTATTTTATATTTTGACAGTTCGATATGTAATTTTAATCGTTTTTCTAAAATTCTAATTTTAAACTTTATAACAACTTTTTACTTTGCGATATACATTTTTATATATACAATTTGTTTTTTTGTTTATAATCTTATAATCATTATATTATTAGACTCGCAAATTTATACGTTATTTCTAGATCTTCATAATTTCGAATATGTGTTTTATAATTTTATAAATTTCTGTATTTTACAATATATTTACATTTATTTTTGTTTGTTAAATTATTATTCACAAGATCGTTTGTAATTGTAATTTTAGACTAAACACTGATTTATTACATTGGTTTATCATTGATTATAATTCCAAGCTTTTGAGACTGCGCTTTATAAGTCATGTTACAAGAACCGTTAATGACCACCAAGGTCATCGTTATTCATCCACATTGTCATGTTCATACACCGAGTAAGGCTATTGCTGCGTTTTCACGTTTTGATATTGAGTAATTCTCACAACTATCTAAAACGATAGGGATATACTTACACAATTGATGAAACTTTTATATTCTTTTTAAGTTGTGTTAAATGTCTTATTTAAGACTATTTTTCATATGAGTATCTGATTTTTATATTGTTATTAAGATTAACATTGATAATGACCCAATAGGGGTCGAAACATTTGTTATGATAAACTATTTGTTTTTGTAATAACTTAACATGAAGACCTTGCTTGGCTCGTAGTCCTATTTTTATTATATTAATTTTATAAATTATTTGAGCCATAGTTCCTATGCTATTTTTATATATACAGGATATTTGTTCTTACCGAATCTAAACATTCTACTGTAAACCAAAACCACAAGACAGGTTCTATCCTTGTATATTTAACTTCTTCTGACCAAAGCATAAATGTAGGCACATAATGTAAATATAAATATATCCTGAGGAAATCAACATATAATTTTTGTTATATAATAATTCGATAATAGATTGAAAATATAATATTTACTAACCAAGTCAGGCAGTGTAACAGGAATAACAGTTTAGAGACTGGTCTCCCAACAGTTTGAAAAATGTACACCAAGATCCGACAGACACTAACTATCACAATGTCAATAGTTTTATACATTAAAAAAGTACTTGTAACTGTACACCACCTATCGCTGTGAAAAATAGATACATATATAATATATTCTTTTATATATATATATATATATATATATTAGGCATTAAACTTAATTCCTGCCATTTTTTGTCTTCAAAATTGATTTGTTTTGAAGAGAAATACCTTAATCAAAAAAGTATTATTAATTAGTAATAAAGTAGAAAATGGAGGAAATTACTTTAATTAAAGTATTCATCTTACCTTCGAAACAAATCAATTTTGGAGACGAAAAACGGCAAGAATTAAGTTTAACACCTAATACATTATAAAACATCAATACACAAAAATGTCAATTTAATATTGTAAATTAAAAATCAAGAAAGTTTAAAAGTTTACATAGGGCGTTTTCCAGCAAAGACATAGTGTAACACCGTAAATCATAACATTTTTGTTATTTGTCAACACTGAATAAGGATGAAATAGTTCACTATGTTATACTACATCCTTGCTAAAAAGAACATCCAAAAACAGTTTTCTAGGGGAGACAAAATAGCTGACAAAAAAAGAGAATAAACATTAAGCAAATAAAAACTGTATAAAAAATGAAGAAAGGTGTGTCTACAATAAAAAAGTTTTAACTAAGAGGTTTACTTTTGTTGATATGGATTCAAGACAAAAGATGCAAAGAGCAAGTTTGCGCAACCCTTTATCCAAGCACCATAACACAGTATATCAATCTCCGCTTGATGAAAGTAAAAGCTCTTATGTAATGCAATCCCTAATTCCTGGTATGTCATTCCCTGTTCGTGGGATGCAAAGCTCAACATTTGCATGGTCGATGATTTCATGTAACATATACTACCAAAACAGAATCCACAGTTCCATGCAGCTTTGATTATCCTGCTTCGCTGTACCAATGGAAAATGCATCTGCCTAAACAGGGACTATGCACAATAAAAAAACAAAGAATATATTTTAGAACAAAGTATAAATATATATTTGAAATGTATATTTTATTTTTATATATATATAAATATATGTATATTCAGTCTGTCCAACACTGCCCACTAAACTTCCACCTCTCCATCATTTTGTCGAGCACAAACAAAAATTTTGGAAAACTTTCTTGGATAGAAAAAAATGAACGTTAAAACTCTGTCCAGTGACTCACACTTAGCTTGTAAGCAAAGAGCTGAACAGACTTGTTTTAGAAGAAATATGCACGACAATCAAAGTTTTATATTATTTTTAATTGGACTCACGTTAAGACATTTTTCGTATACCAAATACAATATTGTCCAGAATAGGATAAGGTATCCAACCAGCACATCGGTGTTCCGTACCTTCGTGTCATTTGGATAACGCGAGCCGATTGCTTGTTCATTCCATAAATTCGGGAGAAAAGGCAAAAATTTGGTTGGATCGAGCAAAGAGTAAAAGCCGATGGCCCAGTTATTCGCAGCTTGTTCATACATACTCTTTATCGTCTGATAGTGATACGACAAAGGAATGACATTGTTCGCAATGTAAAATTTAGAAATAACAGGACTGTAATGGTGTTCCAATAAGAACACTTAGGCCGGTATTCATAGTCAGATCTTATATTCAAGACCGTCTTAAGTACGGTTTTAAGAAGTCACGCACCAATCAGAAGGCTGCATTGGCGTCTTAAGACATTATTTAAGACGGTCTTGAAATAAGACTTGATTATGAATACCGGCCTTAGATTTATTTCTTAAATCTCCAGTTATCACGCACTTATTATATTTGGTTATGGCTTCTAGCTAAATCAGCTGATAAATCTATTGTTTGTGAATCTGAGAGATATTCGCTAGAGGACGCGCGCTAACGCGCACGGTGGCCACGTGCTGTGCACGTGTATTCAGATTTTCCAAACTGATAATTATAAAGCGCGGATAGCCGAAAAAAGGTTATTTTTATAAACTTTTTCTCGAAAAGTATTAAATTGTATAAAATTTTTTTATTTATTTATTTGAAGTATATATTTTCAATATATTATTGTAAACAAGAATTACATATATAAATAATATATATAATATAGATATTATAATTTTTAAGTAGGTAAGTAGAAAATATAGATATTATGTATAAAAAAATATATAAATATCTATAAATAATTCATAAACATATATATAATTATATATGAAATATGTCCATATAATGTTCAATATATCCTTCTTTCTTTAATTTGTAAAATTACTTTTTAGTGTAATACAATTAACCAGTGAAAAATATAAAAAAGCCCATCAGAGTCTACAAAACTCTTTATTTTTTTCGTGTGAATGTAACAAAACGAATAAAATAAACATTTCGACCCATCAATTCGAGTCCTTATCAATATAAAATATAAATTAAATTACATAAGTAACGCAAATTTCAAGATAACGATTCCTGACAATTTAGCTCGTTCTTCTTTATCCAAATGCCAAATTAGATAAAGTCAAAACGGAATCATATACATTGCGTCAATAAGTAGAATCACAACGCTCATCAGATTGTCAGATTTGATGTAAGCGTTTCTCGCGATACGACGTAAAGGTCTTGTGGTGTCGACAGTCAGAGATGAAAAAAAATTTTTTTCTATATTTGTTTAATAAAATTAAATTAAATAATAATAAAATATCAAAAATAATTATAAAGATAATTTTTGCATTATTTCTCGGTAAAAAATTTTTCATGCATGAATATGTATAAATATGTATAAACATACATAAATATTCATAAACATGTATGATTTATATGAAATATATGTTCATACACACAATATATACAGGGTGTGCCGACCTTTTTTGCCAATCACTTTTGTGTAGATAAAGCGGACTAAACTGAGTCGAAAAGTCCTCTACCATTTTGCAATTTTCGCAATAGTTGACAAGATATTAATTACTAAAAATTGCAAAATATTAGTCTTGAATAATTTTTTACTTAAAACTTTACAGAAAAACTGCCAGAGACAAAAATTATTTATTTTCTTCTCATAAAGTTCTGAGAATTTTTTAAGAATTTTTTAATACCGTATTTTCTCGTGTAGGTAAAAATAAAAAAATACAGTACTAAAAAGTTGATAAAAAATTCTGAAAAAATTCTCAGAACTTTATGAGAAAAAAATAAATAATTTTTATCTCTTGCAGTTTTTCTGTAAAATTGATAGTATTTGAGTAAAAAATTATTCAAAACCACAATATTTTGCAATTTTTAGTAATTAATATCTTGTTAACTATTGCAAAATGATAGAGGACTTTTCGACTCAGTTTAGTCCACTTTATCTACACAAAAGTGATTGGCAAAAAAGGTCGTATATATATATATATATATGTTCATACATCCCTCTTTCTTTTGTAAAATTTATACCTTTTAGTGTAATAGAAACAATAATTATAGCAATGTGAAAACATAAAAAAATAATTAAAGGGATAATTTTCATATTGTTCGTTTTAGAAAAAAACAAGTTTAGAAAAATGTAAAAAAAATTGCTCATACACGATTATGCATAATTTTTTATATAATTATACATAAATAATTTTTTTACATTTTTTCAAATTATTTTTATTACATTAAAAAGTAATTTTACAAAAAAAGAGATGTGTGAACATGTATGGACATATTTCATATATGGTTATTATATACATACATATTATAAAATTTATTTAAATTTCGCTCGTTTTTTGCAATGCAAAGTGTAAAGAAAACAACGGTCTGAATCGAACGGTAATAAAGATCTTTTATATAAAGTAATTTAATCGCATACAATGTTTTAGTATGACAAACAGTATATAAAGAATATAAGAAAATATAAAACTTAATATAGTAAGTCGAACTCACAGGTTCGGAACTCACAGGTCCTTCCTCAGCGATTCATGAAAATGTTACATAGTCAAAGAGATGGATAATCTTACGATCAGTGAGACATAGGGTGCTTTCTAGCAAGGGACACAGACACAGTGTAACACAGTGAATCATACGTCCTTGTTGTTTGCTTACGTTAAACAAGGATGAAATGATTCACTGTGTTACACTGTGTTTGATTGTGTCCTTGCTGGAAAGCACTCTTGTGGTACAATTGTTTCGAAGAGTTGATTCTCCTGTTTTTATGTGAATTGTGTCTAAAGTGAGAAATTCATTGTCGTCAACATAATATATCAAGTCAAGAGGTAAAAAAGCATAAGTTATATGAAAGTAAATTGCCAAATTATTCTCTATTGTCAAATTTTGTATTACATCAATTTAAATATTTATAAGATGATTGAGGTTGAATTTCTTAAAATATGCGAAAAGAAGCTACATATTCGTCTGATACTGTTGAGCGCAAGTGTAGTTACAATGGTGACAGACAGAGATTAAGGGTACCCGACTGATATTTATTTATTTGTTTAACAATTTTTCAATAAGTAACAATAAGAGTCGTCCAGACGATCCGTGTCTTTCTGAGAGTATATACCTTTGTTTTGTTTTTTAATGTGTAGCATCTCTAAAATAATTTTGTTGTTGTAATTCTCTTTTATATCTAAAATTAAGGCTCCTTCCCAATTAAAATTGTGATCGTAATTCAGTCTAAATCAGAAATTAATTAATTTCAAAGCCAGAACATTGTTTATCAAATTAATTGTCAAGATTGTGATGCGTTGTATGTGGGGCAAACGAAAAGACAACTTAAAATCCGTATAAATAAACATAGAAATAACATTAAGCAGAATTCCTCCGAACTCTCCGTCATCTCCGACAATAGACTGAATTACGATCACAATTTTGATTGGGAAGGAGCCTTAATTTTATTAAGTTTGCCTTTATGAACTTTAATAAAGGAGCTTAAAGTATTTAAGATTCTGTAGCCAATTATGAAGTTGATTTGTTAAAAGATGAAGTGACAGAATACTAAACCTTCGGTATATAAGGTACTACAAAAGAATTTTTTTAATAATATATTGTTTGTACTGTCCGAGATCACATTGTTAACGCTCTGTGTTTAATTTCTCATGTATAATTTTTTTAATTCTTTTGTTTATGCAATTAAAAATTAGAGACAAACGATAGCAATTGTTTAGGAGAATGTTTACAACAAATTCAATATTTTTTTGATGGAATTTAGGATGAGAAAGAAGAATGGCTCTGTCCAAGAGACTGAAAATCGAACCAATTTTATGAGAGGTAGGATGATTGGATAGAAAAGAAAGATATCCGCCGGAGAACGTCTTTTTAACCAGTCAACAGTTATTTTATTATTCTCAACCTTCAATAGTAGATCTAAAAAGCTTAAGCATCTGTCATTTTCAATTTCCATGTGAATTGTAACCTGTTATGGAAGCTGTTAAAAACCATGAGAATGTTGTCGATGTATTCTTTTGGCGCAGTCATAATAATATCATCGACGTATCGTTGATAAAATATGGAATTTAAATTCAATGTGTCGAGAGCTTTCTCCTCTAAATCTCGCAATACAATTTCAGCTAAAATAGGGGACAGAGGGGATCCCATTGGTGTCCCAAAAATTTGTTTGTATATTTTGTTGTTGAAAGTGAAAAAGATTGAAGTAAAAATAAATTTTAGCATTTTAACAAACTCGACGCATGGAATATTGGTTTTAGTTAAAATTAAGGGCCATCTTTTTTCTATGCTATTGATTGCAAGATCTAGAGGAATGTTCGTAAACATAGAAATAACATCAAGTGAAAGTAAAACAGAATTGTCAATATCGGTGTCATTTAATGATTTGAAAGCATCGTAGCTGTTACGAGTTTGTCGTGGATTCCTCTCAATATAAGAGGAATGTAGGAAGCAGCTATGGGATACAGGGATGTGTTGACAGAGAAAACTATAATTCTATATGGTGTATTTCCTTTGTGAATTTGAAGTAATCCGTAAATTCTAGGTAAATTAGAGTCGCTGGAAGGTAGTACAAGGTAACCTTTTCTTGTAATGAGATCTTTATCAAGCCAATTCTTTAAATAACTATTTAGTTGCTTTTCAATTTTGTTAATCGGATTGTATTCAGTAATCTAATAAGTGTTTTTATCCTGTAGTGTTTCTTCAATTTATGTAATCTTGTTTTTTCATCGCGACTGTTACATTGCCTTTGTCAGCATTTGTGAATATGATGTCTGGGTTCTTATTACAAAAAAGTTTGGTAACTCTATACATATTCAACAATTCAACTTCAAATTGTTTCTGTTGATTTTCTTCAATAATAGTCAACTTTAATATTTCGATTCGCGAGGCAGAGCGACGCTTATTTCTGTCAGATTCTTTTGTTTTATGCAAAAACGCGTCGAATAAGCATAATTTTATTGATTTTTAAGTTGCGTGACCTATTGTATATAATTACCAAATTTTGAACTTACCGTTATCGATGTCTTGCAGAAAGTACAGCTGGATCCTTCTGAAATTATATCACAAGTGAAATACTTATGCGCTTTATTGGTAGTTACCCTCTATACAGCACAAAATGATTGCAAAATGATTGAAGATATATCTCATTGCAATGTTGTAATATTGCAAATAGATTGCGCAATGTATTTGCAATATATTCCAACGTCATAGCATCATAAAATGTTCGCCTTCAGCAAGATTACGCTGTAATGTCGTAGCAATGTTGCAGCGCAATGTATTTGCAATGAGATTATCAAAAATAATTCTTTTATTATTACTGAATATAATTTGAAAAACAATTTTTGATATAAACAAAAAGATGCAAAAAAAAGAACTTATCAAAATATATTTTATATTATAATTAATGTATTTTAATTATATTTTATATTATAATTATTATGCTTAATTGAAAATTGTATATCCAGGTACATATATACATTTTTTTAATTTTATACATATGTAGACATGTATTTTACTTTTCCGCAAATATATATTTTACACTTTATGCATAGGTACACCTATTTTATACATATTCTTAACTAGTGAAATGGAAATAATAAGAAACCCCACGCATTCTATTTCATTTTTTTTTGCCATGTACAAAGAATTTTTTTAATCCAAATATTCCAAAAAATTATGAGAATTGATTATAAAGTTTAAAAAATCTTTTTGCACGACGACGATAACAAATGTTTCAATGAACACTATAATTCCCCTAATGGCTCCCGCAACATTTGCCGCGCGACAAAATGCGACACGGTAACCAATAAATTTACAGTTCCTCACATGTTTATTGGTTATTGCATTTTGTCACGCGACAAGCATTTAGTGTGCAAAAACCATAAATTAATGGAAATAATTAACAATCATATAACGTGTAATTGACATATGTTTCCACATATGACAGCGATTCATTACTCAAAAGTCAAAATATTTTTTAATGTCTCTGTAACAATGCTGCAAGATTTGTAAAATCTTGCGCCGTAATATGTATATATTATAATTCCGTAATATGTATATATTATAAGTTTCGAGCAGAATCTCTGTTATTGTATGGAAGTCGGTGGTCAATATTTCGAACAATTATCACGCTAACTTACACAACGGTATGCGTCTTAGACCCTTTTTTTGCTTTGCAAATGATTAATGAATTGATCCAATAGATAACAAAGAAAAAAGCGTAAAGATATGAAGATTTGTTTGTTTCATATTAAACATTCTGTATCGTCTAAACAAATTGATCGAATTAAAAAAAATCAAACATAGGAATGTAAGGAATTAAAAGACCTTTCTAATGATATATATCATTTGAACCCCCCCCCTTCCCATTTAAAATTTTTTAAAGATTGGCACCCCCGTTTAGGGAGTTAATCTTGATGGTAAGAATTATACGTCAAAAGATGGCCTCTTCCAAACAAAAATTGATCTTTTTACGTTTTATTCGAAAAATCATTTTTATAAGAGATATTTGGTCTGTTTCGTTTTCAATAGGCCACCCTATATATTGTTATGCATTATTTTATTATCATATTATAGTGAATATTACATCTACATCGCAATATGGTTCTACCTCGAAGGGGATAATCATCTTCCAACTCAGTAATCATATTAGAAAATGTCAATGAATGATGATATTACGCGAATTACGTTTATGTCCACATGAATATACAATTGTTGCAACAAATTCTTTGTGGTAGGAAGTGACGGTTATACACACTTGATACAGTAGAAATACAATATTTATTACGAGTAACCTCTCCGACATATACATCCTTACAGTCATAGAGCCAATAATAGTATCGAGAGTGTCTAGTGCGCAGTAACAAAAATGGACTCCGAAAGGAGGGGGGGCGCGCTTCCCTAGCCGCACGTTTTGGCGCGTATTCAACATCTCTCCCACCTTGAGGTGCATAGTATAGGGTTTAGGGGCAACTCAACCTATCCTAAAAAACAGGAGACAGAAAAAAAAACAAAATGATTAAAAGCCAAGTCGCAGAGGCTTCTTGTGTCGGCCGCTTCGTGTCTTATGACTTGTTTCTTCTTTGGGTGCAGGTTTCGACTCGTCGAGTATTTTCTGTGGCGGTTCCTGAGCTTTTGACGTCTCTAGTAATTGGTTGATCTCGACATCGGAGTGTCTCACTTCCAGGGATATCAATTTTTGTACCGGCCGGATTAATTCACCCTTTGCAGTAGTTAGTTTTGCCACGCGGACTGATTCATCCTTTCCTAAGAAAATTTCTTTGACTACGGCGAGCGGCCAATCTAAACGCTTCTGCAAATCGTTCCCGATGAGTACAACATCGCCAACAGCGACTTGAGCGTAGTTATTTTCGCACTTGGTTCGTCGGGATAATTGTCCTAGATATTCAATGCGAAAGCGCTTTCTTAGTTCTTCCCTTAATCGTTGACGATAGCGCAACCTTTTTGCGAAGTGAGAACTGTTAATCTGATCTAAATCTGGAACGCTACTTTCTTTTACATCTTTAATAAACATAGCGGGAGTAATAGCCGCAACTTCTGTGTTTTCTTCGGCTAAATAGGTAAGCGGTCTTGAATTCATGATATATATCCGGCCTCGCAGTCGCATAGAACCGTGGTCATTTCTTCATAATTCAAAGAAGTCTTTCGTAACGTTCTCTTCAACAATTCCTTCAGCATGCGGATAAGACGCTCCCAATATCCTCCCCACCAAGCAGCTGAAGGAGGATTAGAATGCCATTCCATTTCATTAAGAGCACAATAGTTGGAGATCTTTTCCCAGTTGATCTTTCGTAACAGATTTGCAGCTCCTACAAAGTTTCTGCCATTGTCGCTGTAAATCACAGAGGGTCTTCCTCGACGAGCTACGAACCGTCTGAAAGCTTCCAAAAATTCCTCTGTTGACAAAGACGAGACTAGTTCCAAGTGGACCGCACGATAGACAGCACATGTGAATAGACAGATGTAAGCTTTACATCCCTCCTTTAAGAAAAGAGGTCCAGCATAATCGATGCCCGTTACCTCGAATGCCGAAACATCTCTAACTCTGTTTTGAGGTAACGAGCCAGGGGGTACCTCTAGGTTTTTCGCCATGTGTCTGCAGCAGGTTGTGCACTTGTGTATGACAGAGCTTACGGTGCGGCGGTACCGTAGAATCCAATATTTTTTTCGTAGATTGTTCATCACAATGTTGATGCCAGTGTAGAATCTTGAATTTGATATGTTTTCTTTGATGTAATTGAGGGCGAATAAAGCTTTACTACACTTAATGAGAATGTGGCCAATTAGTTTAAGGATATAAGTTTTCCTTTATTATTGGATGTACAAATCGTAGATGACGGCGCGAACACGTCCGAGTGACACGACGGCTACGCTTCAAACTGTCTTCAACAACTCGTTGCTAGGGACTCGTAGTCAAGGCAAATTAACATGGCAGTATTGCCGCAACGTGAACTAATCACTTTTACAGTTTACACCAGCGTGGTTAAGTTTCAGATGTAGATAGTAAATAATCTTTTTCGTCAGTGGGATCCAATAGTATAGGGCACCTAAAATGGAATGTGTCTTGACGATTGGAGATTACTGTCTTGGTTCGCAAGAGTCCATTATGTTCAAAGACATTCAACCCACGCAAACGGGGATCGTTCCCCCCCGCGAAAGATTCCTTTTGAGCCAGCTTGCAAAGAAGTAATTCAGCGGCAACAATCTCTTTTGCACTTAACTCTTGCTCCCTGGTCACGGAGATCCCGCGACAACCGTTTAAAATGTTATCCACGCGACCATGCGTAAAATCTTAGGGTAAGACGAGAATCTGTGTAGATACCACGGAATATCCTCTTCGCTGGAAACCTTCGTGGAGTTGACCATAACGATCCCGCTTATAGGGGTTTCGAAGGTAGTTTTCTTCGATTGTCTAGGGATCTTACGCAACTCCATATTTATCATTTTCTCGTTGATTTCACCCTCTTCTGTAGGCCATCGATCGGGGGGGAGTTTCAACCACGCGGGCCCCTCCCACCATCTGTACTCAAAAAACTTTCTCGTATCACAGCCTCGAGAAGGTAAGTCCGCAGGATTCATCTTCCCAGGAACGTATCTCCAGGAACCAACTTCAGTAAGTCTTCTTATTTCTTGGACGCGGTTCCACACAAATACAGCCCACTGTCTCGTCTGACGTATCCAAGTTAGGACAGTGGTCGAATCGCTCCAGAAATATATTTTGATGTCTCGGTAATTGGTGGCCTGGATAAAAGAGTGCATTAGTCTAGCTCCAATAGAGGCGGCCAACAGTTCGAGACGAGGTATAGTCTTCTTGCCTTTCGGGGCTACTCTTGACTTAGCTTCGATAAGATGGACTTCAACCCCTGCGTCTGCTTTTACTCTTGCGAAAAGCGCAGCCGCGTAGGCATCCTTGCTAGCATCCACAAAAACATGAAAGGATAATGATTCGGTATTCCTTTCTTCTCCAAAAATACATCTAGGGACTTTCAACATGCTGAGGAGGTCCAGTTATCGTGTCCATTCTATGAATTCGTTTTTGCTGTCGGAATCGATCTCGGTGTCCCAGTCCATATCTTGATTCCAGAGACGTTGTAACATCAACTTTGGCTTTAAGAGCACTGGACAGACGAGCCCGAGAGGATCGAACACTTGCTGTACTCGTGATAGCACTTCTCTCTTTGTTATCTTCTCCGGGATCGGCCGTGAGGGGAAACCTGACAATGAGAGTGTATCACGTTTGGTGTCCCAAACGAGTCCGAGTATGGTTGATCGATTCTCTGAGTTCATTCCCGTATACTTCCATCCTCTCAAATCGAATTTTGCTTGACTCAGTAGGGAACTGGCTTCTTTCTGAAAGATCTCGAAATCAGAATGAGAATCAACGCTAGTAATACAATCATCGACATAGAAAGACTTTGTTAATTTCTCGTAAATTGATTTCTGGCATTGCGAAACATCGGACTGTAAAGCCCGTTCAAGATGCATATCGATAGTAGCTCCCAAAAGATATGGGCTGCTTGTTACGCCGAATACGACCCGCCGATGACGATAAATCTCCAATTCTCCATTGGTACCCCACCACAAGAGCCTCAGAACATCCCGATCTGACGAGGAGATGTTAATTTGTAAGAATGCTTTCGCAATGTCTGCGGTCACTCCTGTCTTTCTTTCTCGAAACCGATGTAACAGTGCCGAAATATGTTCAATGAGGTTGGGATCGGTTTCTAGACATTGGTTGAGCGAGGGTGAATCCTTGGTCCTTGCTGAGGCGTCAAAAACCGATAGGATCCTAGTGGTTCCTTCCTTCTTAACAACTGGTCTGTGAGGCAGGTAATAGCTTTCTTTTTGGACTTTGTGTGTAGGCACTCTCTCGATGACACCTTCGGCGAGCCAGTTGTGTAAGACTGAGTTATAGTCTTCAAACAAATCTTCATGTCGTAGTTTCTTGGTGACAGCTTTTAGTCTCCTCTCCGCGACATCTCGGTTATCTTGTAAAGGTGGATGATTTTCCTTCCATGGTAGAAGAACTTTGTAGTGGCCTTCATCGTTGACTCTGGTTGTTTCTTGAATCAGTTGTTTGATTTCAGTCTGACGGGCCTCTTTAGTAATGCTTTCTATTGGGTCAGTGATACCCAATGTGTCAAGTCTCCACAGGTCCGACACACTTGCTTCTTGTGAGCATGGATATAACCATTAGAGCTGCATCTGACTCGCTGTTATCATCAAGTTTTCTGCCCAAAAGGATCCATCAAAGTTTGGTTTCCAGAGCCGTTATTCCTTGATCAATCTGAAGTATTTTTCCAGTAAGTATTTTGCCAGCAACATCAGCCCCTATCAACAATGAGATAGGCGCTTCTTCTTCTCCAGTATCATGTGGATGTATATCTTTTCTGCTAAGCATTTCCTTCCATGGTCCGCTACTCATCCTGGGCGTATCTTGACAAATGACACCCTGTTGCAAAGCCACGAAGTCGCATTTGTACCATCTAATACGTGCCATCTAAGTTGCTGACATAGATTCGACAAGCCTTGTGTCTTTGGGGTTTGGTTTTGCTTCCGCCAAACAGCAAATGTATCATCGTCTGCTCGCCTACAAATTCATATCCTAGCGTTTTCGTTATTCCCTCTGAAATGTAAGATCGATGTGAACCGGTACCTATGACCTCGGACTTCTGCCTCACCTTTCGGACCATTTATCTTAACCTTTAATATCGGCAAAAAGATTCTAGTACTTGACGAGATATTAGCGAGACAACTGTTACCCTCATTGAAATCTAGATTGGTAGGCTTTTCCTCATTGGCCTGTTTTGACTCGCTTTTATTAGATAAGTTTCTACATACCAAGAGAAAATGTCCTTTTCCGCACCAAGGGCATCTTTCTCTGCTGCGACATTTTAAGTAGCTATGTCCCACCTTTAGACATTTGTAGCAGCCTTTCCTTTCTTTTATGACCTTCATCCTCTCGTCCATATTCATGCTTCTTGCTTTTTCGCAGCGCGAACTGTCGTGACTCTCTTTACAAAATAAACATTGTAGCTTTGTTTCTTTCACGGCTAACAAACCAGCTGCTGTGGCGACATCCGGATCTCGATCTGGATCATTTTTCTTCTGTTTTCTTTTAGTTTTATCTTTGGTTATCTGGACGTCTCTGTTTTCGAAGCACGTCTTGGCCATCTGTATGCGCTCTTCATTTTCCACCTCTCTTCCTAGAAAAAACATTAAATTCGTGAGACGGTCTTTTGCGTTAAGAGTCACAACAGATACACCGCCTAGAGGAATTGACGAGGTCATTGTTCGTTGCCATATTCGCAATGTCTCTTCTGGCAGGGAAGATTCCACCAAAGGGAACAACATAGCTGCGCACATATCTGTTGTTATCTCCAAGGTCTTGAGCGCTCGCATGTGTGTTTCTAACTTGTCATAGATTGAGACGAGCAATACATTTTTACCTTTATCTAGGACTAACTTTAAGAGTTCGCGCACATAAAATTCAATCAATAAATCCTTTTTGCCAAATCGAGATTCGAGACTTTGAATGGCTTTTTCATAATTACTCGCTGTGAAAGGAAAGCTATTCACAACTTCATACGCACGCGAGTCCTTTACAGTGGACTGTACTAGATAATGAAATTTATCCTCCTTTGACAACGCGCGGTCATCGTGAATCTTCTTGAAGGTGCTCCAAAACGGAAGCCAGTCTTTGATATCTCCACCAAATTTCCTTAATTCGATTTTCGGCAATTTTAATGCGCGTATACTTTCCTGAGTCGTTGCGGCCGTTGTGTGAGCTCGTGTGATAGCCGGTGTCGAAGGCTCGTAGCGGTCTTGTGGTTCTATTAAAGAGGTTAACTCAAGTTTGGCCTGATGGTATCTCGTCAAGTACTCATCTGCGTGCTCTGCTTCCTTGTTGATAGCCTATTCTGATTCTCCTGCTTCGATCATCAATCCCTGTAATTTCTGGCTTAGCTCGTTAAGTTCACTGGCTTTTTCTCGAATCAATGCAAAACTGACTTGCATGGAGGTTAAGTCTGGCGATTCTTTCCCTTTCTCATTTTGGAAGGAAGTATGTGCTCTCGTAAACGCGGATCGCGTTATCTTCTGTGTTAACCTTATTTTATCCATCGTGTCGGGGTCACTTCCCAATAGTCTCTTGTCACTGTACAATGGTTGGCAACGAAAAAATCGATTGTCCTGTCACGGTCGCCAGAATGTTGCAACCAATTCTTTGTGGTAGGAAGTGACGGTTATACACACTTGATACAGTAGAAATACAATATTTATTACGAGTAACCTCTCCGACATATACATCCTTACAGTCATAGAGCCAATAATAGTATCGAGAGTGTCTAGTGCGCAGTAACAAAAATGGACTCCGAAAGGAGGGGGGGCGCGCTTCCCTAGCCGCACGTTTTGGCGCGTATTCAACAACAATCATCCGATATGTTATTTATTATAGTAAATATTTAAAATTTAAGAAGTAGAACTTTTAATGCATCCTTTTTCATGTCATTTACAATACATATGTAAATTACGTTAAAAAATATATCTTTTAAAAAACTATTGCGTTTAATTTTAAAAATACAAGGAACAGTTGTTTACAAGTTGACTATAATGCCTAACGTCTGTCTATAATACTATTCCGTATCACACATATTATTTTAAATGAGCCAATTATTATCAGACACGGTCATCAGCTGATAACAAATTGTTCAGCATTCTATTTGCAAAAAGTATGCGTTGATATGCGCAGTTAAACTTTTTGTGGTACCGCGATGCACCAATATCTATTTCCCAATCTTCATGTTAATTTCATGAAACTCGTAATTTTTATTTGCGCCAAGCAAAATTAGCTAGCTTTTACAAGAAGCCACTATTAGTGCCGCGCTAATTACCGAAGTGATATAAACTCAATCAATAACTCACGTATATTTCATTATTTTTATTATTCAGACACCTGCGAATCGCGTATTCAAAATAAAATGTCCTACGAAAGCGTTCAAAGATGGATCAACGAGATGATGCTGAAGATCATCGAGAATCTTGAATTGGACATTCACAAAGCTCAGTACGAATTATTAGAATCTACTGGCAATTTTATTATGTCCAACATATATCATATACGTTTAAAATTTGAGAATAAAACAAACAGACAGAGCGAGGAATTGTCTATAATACTGAAGATGCCCATGTTGGATTTTAGTCAGATAGCTCGTATTGATCTTCAATTTCGCAACGAGATCCTGTTCTATCAAATGCACACCCGACCGAATAATTATGCAAAATGTTTCTATGTTGAAGAACGACCGCCTATCGACTCTATAATCGCTTTAGAAAATGTCAACGGACAAGGATATTATCCTTGTCCATATAAATATGATTCTCCAGTGGAATACACATTAGCGGCAATGCGCGAGCTGGGACGATTTCATGGTAAAGGATATGTCATGAAGGAAATGCAACGGGAAAAATTTTTTGATATCGCGGCGCAAATTCAAGAAATTAGGTTTACAAACAAAACGGAGAATCTTTACAAGTTTGCTTGCAACATTAAGATATCACGGGTGAATAAAATTTAATGTCGATTAATAACATGAAGCTCAATAATGAATAGATTTTAAGCTTTGATTTGTCAAAAGTGTAAAATTCGTTCCCTGTACAGAGCTGCTAACTGTTTCATATTTTTGACATAACATCAAATGTATTTTATATACCATTTGTGTGAAACTAAATATATTGAAAGTGTTCATGAACATCGAAATAAAGAGTATCTCCTTAATATAAAATGTAGAGTCTTACCACATTCATTAATGCAAAATGATATCGAGAATGGGAACATCAAAATAATCATTTTCTGTATCAATACTGTTATCTTTCAAATTAAAGTTGAATGAGACACATCAAGCTTCAATGGATTTCTTCCAGATCAATGCTTTGCTCGTGGTATGTTACAGTTTAACACCTCAACATTACAGTTCAAAAACTATCCATTATTGATGTCCATGATATCTTTGAGTGTATATCAGTTGCACACACACACACACACACACAAGTTCACTAGCATTAGCCAATCACAGCTCTAGAAAAAAATAATTAAAAAATCTCCCTAGGTGAAAGTCGCTGTAATTGATAGTGGGCAATTACAACTGCTCTCGATATCTTTTGTTTCAGATCATAAGCTATATCATATGTGAAAATCAACTCTATTATCAGTACAAAATATTCCATATAATTATTCAGTACATCTTTAAAACGTATCATGAATATATCTCGATAATAGTACATGACATCACTTTGCACAGCTTGTCTCATTAAAATAATATTTTAAAACTATGTTTATATGAGAATACACAGCCAATAAAATTTTCTGTACTGTATCAATGCTAAGTTCCCGGAAAAAAATGTTTCTTATATTATTCTACATAATTATACAAAATTATATAAAATTATATATAATTATATGTAAAATTGACATATTTTACATATAATTATATACAAAGTATGATATATATTACATTTTTTTCCGAGTTTATATATTATGGATATTATACTATCTCTTATACATATATAATGTTACTTACATATATATTTAAGCAAATATATGGTTGGAAAGTACAAGTACTTGTAACATTGTTAACGTTAAAATTACATTTTTTTTAATTCTTTAATATAAAAACTTATTTAAAAGAAAAGGCTTGATTCTGGATTTTAAATTGTCTATAATAAAATACATATTTGACTAAATTTATTTCATTAACTACAAAATTTATTACATAATTGACGGCAATCCTAACAAAGTGACGAAGAACTTCAAAAATTCACCACAATCCGATTGGTAAAAGTATATACCCTTAGAAACGTAATTAAATGTCATTTTTGTGTGTGATTAAACTTTGGAGCATTCGTGGAACAAAAATTAAAAATAAGTTCAAGTTAAATAGACAGACAATTAACGATCTCTCATAAATATGTGTGACGAAAATTTCCTACGTTTGTCTCTACATTTTGTGCCAAAATCTACATGTGCGAGAGCAATGTCCAAGATCTTTGACAATAGGAAAAAAAAAATTTGTTGACATCCCGTATTCAGAAGTGCTCTGAATAACTGAAAACTCCCGCGCGTTCTTTCATACGTGCGATCGAAAATTTCCTATGTTTGTCCCTGCATTTGAAACTAAAATCTACAAGTGCGAGAATAACGAGAATTTACGGCAATTTATATATGTAAAAATTCTTCATAAGAAAAACAAAAAGTGTGTTTTTGTCGATCATTCTAATTTTTACTCGTTTAATATAGTTGACCATGTGAAATTTATTATTCATATGTGTATTGATAAAGACTCCTTAGAAACATTTTTATCATTTTCTTTCTTTACTGCCTGCGAAATGTATTTTACAAATGCACGTTATTCCCTTAGCGGCCACACCTCAGCCCGGCCACATCGCGGCCACACCGGGGTACATACTTACCCCACGCTAAAAAAATTAGTTGTACAAGATATATGGGTATTTTAAGATTTCTAATCGATTGTTTCATGTTTGTTGAACAGTTCTTCAACATTTCTAATGATTTATATTAGTCAATTTATAGATGGCGCTCTAAAAATTGGTCATATATGTGAAAATTCGGCAAAAATGACTTTTTTCAGAAAAAAATTCATTACTCC